GGTATACTATGAGGTGAAATAAAGCCACTTTTCCTTAAGTTTCTTTTGGTCCTGGTGTTCTATCACAGCAGTTTTAGCCTAAGATAGATACTATTTTCTTGAGACATACTATATGTCTCAAAATGGACACATTTTGCCTTGAACTTGTGTGCCTTGGGAGTATAAGCTGTATTAGCTTTGTAAACTATATGGAATAGCTGAAGCAGGCTGACTTCATAAAGAACAGAGGTTTATTTAGCTTAGTATTTTGAAAGTACAATGGCATATTCCTGCCATGGGCCTAGGACTTCATGTTGATTTCATGTTGACAAGATGGTGTTACAATGATGGGAACACATGTAGAAGGTGTAGGGGGAAAGGGCCAGCCAAAGAAACATACTCTGAGCAGAGCCAAAGAAACACACTTTGACCCTGCAACCAGAGCCAAAGAAATGCACCCTGACCCTGAAACCAGCGCTAAAGGAAATACACTTTGTCCCTAGAATCAGAGCCAGTGCAAGATACACCCTGGCCCTAAAATCGAAGCCAAAAGGCTAACAAGGACCAGTGAAAGAAACACACTTTGGCTCTGGAGCCAGAGCTAAATCTGCTCCTAACCTTGAGCAGAAAACCAGCCAGTCCCTGAGCATGAGATCTAGCCAATCTGAGCTCAGAGACTGAAATCTAACCAATCCTCACCCTGGAAAGTCCTCCCCTGCCAGAGCAGAGCTGTTACACTGGGGAAGCCTTTCCCTGGAGCAGGGCTGTAAGCTGCTACACATACTGTGACCTGTGGTATTCTTTGGCTCCAGAGTGCCAGAATCCCTTTTCATCTGAGCTGCAGTGCTTACAGAAGGAAGAAAAAAAAATGTCTTGAAACAAGAATCCAGAGGGCTTAGTGGGCCTAAGCTTGCTGTGGTTGCAACTCATGAGAAAACTGCAAAAGCTTCCTTGAGAACTGCCTTAATCCTCTGTGATTTCAAGACTTTCCAGTGGGTGGGCTCACCTCTTAAAAGTTACTTGCCACCTCCTGATTCTATCTATTACCTATTGATTCCATGATACAGTAACCTAAACCGATGATTCTTCATACTGTTCTTTGAATCACTTTAGTATGGTGACTCTGGTGTCTATGTCCCGTTCCAGACTAATTGAATAAGACTCTGAAGGGTGGAACTCAAGCGTCTTATTTTCATTTTTCTGAGTTTCCTGTGTGGTTCCAGTGTATGGCAAGCCTGTTGAGAATCACTGGTCTAACTAAAATTATTTCTATACACCAATAAAAATTGTGTTTATTCCACATTAAGTGGCTGCTTTCTGTATGTAGCACTATTCACTTTATATTTCCACTTGGAAAAACATAATTAAAATGTAAATTTAGCAAAGTGAAATTGTATGTATTGGGAAGTGAAGATCTGGTGAGCCCATTAAGGCAGATATTTACATATCCAGAATTAATGTTCATGATTTGTCAGCTGATGAACTGTAAATATCCCACTGAGCTAGTTAACTGAAAATCAGTCATTGTTCAGCCAGAGTCATTTAGCAGTGGGTTGAGTCTTGGCCATGACTTAGATAAATACTAAGATGTTACACCAGAGGATATTCACAAGGCTCATGCAGTGCATACTGTCAGTGCAAATAGTCTGTTTGGTTTGGAGTAGCAGAGTGATGTGAGCATTCCTGTGGGAGGAATGGGATTTGAAGTCAGAATTTAGTAACTTTCAGAGTTTGGTGGTTAAACATAGGAAGTGACCTTGTTCTTTGAGTATCAGTGGGCTAAACTAGCTGAAAAGAAAACAAATCTCAAACTCTGTCTGATCATTTGTCTAGAGTTCTGGATCACACTAGTCAAGCATTTGACAAACTGTGACCTATTGATCAAATCCTTTTTTTCTTTAAATATAAATATGCGTGTTTGTGCACATGTATTATGTCTGTATTTATGTGTCAGAGGTTAGAGGCCAATTTTGGGTCTTACTCCATCCTCAAGCACTACCTTTTTTCTTTATTTCCTTCTCCCTCACTAACACCCCCCTCCCTGGGTCTTTCTTTCAGCACCATCTCTCAATGGCCTACAGCTCACTGAGTATACTAGACTGGCTAGCCAATGAGCCCAGGGCCCCGCCTATCTCTGCTCTCCAGTATTGGGATAACAATTTGTTTTCCACCATGTCATTTAAAAAATGATTTATTTATTTTTACTTTACATGCATTGGTGTGCCTGCATGTGCGTCTGTGTGAAGGTGTCAGAACCCCTGGAACTGGAGTTATAGACAGTGGTGAGCTGCCATATGGGTGCTGGGAATTGTACCTGGGACCTCTGGGAGAGCAGCCAGTGCACTTAATCTCTGAACCATCTTTCCAGCCCTCAGGGTTTGCTTTTAAAGTGAGTTTTTTGAGATGGAACCCAGGCCCTCATATTGGCAATGAGCTAGTTCCTCAGACACCACCCCCATTCTCTTTTTTGAAAGATGTATTTATTTTATGTAATGAGTGCTCTATCTGTATGTAATGCTAGAAGAGTGCATCAGATCATGATGTAGATGGTTGTGAGCCACCATGTGGTTGCTGGGAATTGAACTCGGAACCTTTGGAAGTGCAGCCAGTGTTCTTAACTGCTGAGCCATCTTTCCAGACCCCATTCTTTTTTTTAATAGCTTTTTTAATGCCCCACACCCCACACCCCTCCCCCTGTTCTTTCGTTTACTTATTGCCTATGGCTGTTTTTAAGTTCAGATTTGAATATGTATGACAGTGTTGTGTAGTGTAGAAAGCCAAAAGTATTTATTATGAAAGTGCCCCCTTCTATGTTCAACTGTTGTAGCACACATTTTCTGTTGTTGCTAATGCTTCTAAGTTGTCCTATTAAGCTGCATTTGGGGTTTCACATACAAATGCCTGAGATGGTTGCGTTTTGACTCTTTGAGGTGGAAGCTGCAGTTGAGGAAAAGGGAGTATGTTCTGTGTACTGCTTACTTTTTCATTGCTGTGATAAAACACCACGACCAGGGCAGTTTCTAAAGGAAAGTGTGTAATTGGACTATGGTTTAGAGGGTTAGAGTCTGTGATGATGGAGTGAAGAGGCATGATCAAGGAACAGCCGAGAGCTCACGTCTCAAAGTGTAGGAAGGAGGGACGTGCGTAGTGGGAATGGAGCTGTCTTCTGAAACTTCCAAAGCCTTTCCCCAGTGTCACGCCTCCTCCAACAGTGACACACATTGGGGACCCTATCAAACCTCCACCCTTTGGAGCGGAGGAGGATGCTCCCAGTCCTCTCCGTGTTCTGTCATCACAGCCCTTGCTGTTGGTGGTCCTCTCTTGGGCTGGTCACGCAGTAACAAGCAGCTCAAGAACTTTGTGTGTGAAGGCTTCTCTGCAGTCACAGGAGACAGACTTCGTATACCTTGCTAGTAACAGATCTGCACGTGGAAGTTTGGGGATGAGAGCTCTTCATCCTTTAGTGCTAGTTAAAACAGATTGTTGAAGATGGTGGAGGTCCCTGGTCTCTGCAATATAGAGGCTAGTTCTGAGCCACCTCTTATACTTGGGGATCTGAATGCTAAGGAAGACCCTCATGCATTTGCTGAGTTATTATGCTTACAAATAAAACCTTCTAAGCAGTTCTGGCTTTCTAAGGTCTTAACTTCATTTTGAATGTGTTACTCAAGCTCCAGCCCTTGCTTGTCATTTATTTTTATAGATAGACTGCACATGCAGGCAAGGAAGTACCTATAAATATAGTGATATTCTGATACTCTGATTATTAGAGCAAACAGTATGAGATAGGAATCTTATTGTGTAACTCAGGCTGGCCTTGAACCCATAATCTTGCCTTGGCCTCTCCAGTGTGCTGGCACTTCACTAGGCTGAGAAGTAGAAGTAGCCAGACAGATTTTCATTTTGAAAGAGGTCTATGATGCTCCTGTAAATTTTTATTAATAAAGTAAGTCACTTTTGTGACCACAGAAGATTGTTTTTTTTTGTATAAATTACTTAAGGTGGTTTCAGACCAAAACCTCTTTCATAAAATGATATTAAATTTACTGTTTGTAATTTATTCCTAGATCTGTACTTGACTTTGCTGGGTGTAGCTGTATCCAGCCTTGCTAAAGTCAATCTGTGCCCAGTGCTGGCATACTCTGATGGTTGGTTTTCTGTTCCATGAGGTGCCATTTGGTGTAGAGCCTGTCTTTCTAGATTGTGATGGCTCCAAGCACTGCTAGTATGTGAATATCCAGGCATTTTTGCTTTCCTAGTGCGATGAGGCAGTTAAGAACATGTAGTTAGTTAAAACAGCTTGAGTTGCTTCTTCGAATAAGTAGATTAATAAAAAGGAAACCATCTGGGTGGTGGTGGTGGTGCACATTTTTAATCCAGCACTCGGGAGGCAGAGGCATGCAAATCTCTGTGAGTTCAAGGCTAGCCTGGTCTACAGAGTGAGTTCCAGGACACCTAAGGCTACACAGCGAACCCCTATCTTGAAAAACAAAAACTTCCAAATTGCACTCCTGACACCAGATATCGTGGAAATATTAAGCTACACAAAGTAGGGATGTCCTATGATATTTTATTGAGGGAGAAGTCACTTACATGAGAAGCCAAGAAAGTCGAGAACCAAAGGTCCACAGGCTGCTCTCTGAGATGCAACCGGAACCCAAAAGAGAGTCTCCTTCCCTCCAGCTTTTTTATCCCCCATATGTTCTACATACCTGTGACCACGCCCAAATGGGTGTGGTCAGCACTATGGGTATGTAAAATCTCTCCCTACAACATCATCATCATTACCATCATAATATAAAAAAGGAAACCTTTGACACTTTGGAATGAGGTGGGAGGATGGTGAGTTTTAGGTTAGCCTGATCTATGTTGACATTAAGGACAGCCTAGACTGCATATTTCAAAAAGAAAAAAATCATTGATGATGAACTTTGGGGTAAAGTTTGGTTGACTGATAGGATGTGTGATTTTCTGTGTATGTAACTTTTCCTCACTAACCAGCTCTTCTCCTTGTGTGACAGGTCAGTGACTATCATCTATTCCACACGATGAGTAACAGCCACCCTCTTCGCCCCTTTACTGCTGTGGGGGAGATTGATCATGTGCACATTTTGTCTGAGCATATTGGTGCCTTGTTGATTGGTGAAGAATATGGCGATGTCACGTTTGTTGTGGAAAAGAAGCGCTTTCCTGCCCACAGGGTCATTTTAGCAGCTAGGTGCCAGTATTTTAGGTGAGTATAATGTTTTTCTTCTTTTCAGATTTAAGTCATCGTGTGAAAAATATGTAACATAAGTGTAACAACAAGTGGGATCCTTTAGTACAATGTGGAAAAGAACTTTCTTTGTGGATTTGTTACTTTCGAGAGTTACCTTTTCTTCAGGAGCCAGCTTAGAATTAAAGGGTTAGACAGTGGTCTGGGCCAGACAGTACCATAACTCTTTCTGAAGGTCTGCAGAGCCTTTCTCAAGCTGTGTGTCTGTCGCTTTTGCCCTCTGCTCAAGTAGATGAGGGATGGATTTACACTTAATTACTGGTGTATGGGCTTCTTGTCATATAGGGCAGTGGGCTTTCCAGAATGTGTTTCTTGGCCTTGGATTACTGCAGCCAACATCTGTGGGCTCTCCCAGATTTGTCTAATGTCACTAAACATGTATTGGCTGAGACTTTCAGAGTTATATTAGAAATAAAACCTTATGTATATGTATATATGCATATACATTGTTTTTGAGACAGGGTTTTTCTGTATTGTTTTGGAGGCTGTCCTGCAACTCACTCTGTAGACCAGGCTGACTCACAGATAACCACCTGCTTCTGTCTCCCTAGTGCTGGGATTAAAGGCGTGCGCCACCAACGCCTGGCTACATATTTTATAAAAGTAAAAATCCCCACTTATAGATAGCTATTTATTAGATCCTTAATTTTCCAGGTTATAAAATTTACAGGTCTCTTACATTTTACCTAATGTTGGCTAAAAGGAATCCACCAGTAATGTATTGCCTTTGTGTTTGTTCATCTTTAACATTACTAAACCTTTGTCTGTTTACAGTGATAAAGCTGCTACATAGAATCACAGTGTTACTTGGAGAAGTTAAGATGCCTGGTGGCTTAGGGAAAATTCGTTTGTCCTCCAGTGGAAGCTGCATCTGGCCTTGAAATGAGGACTAATAGGGACAGCAAAACAGGCACACCTTGGAGTCACATTTGCCATCATTGTGTTTCTTGGGAGTGTGTTCTTTGACTAGAACTACCATAGTTAACTTATGGCATTTTCACAACTTCCCATCCTTTACAAAGTAAATAATAGAAGTGAAATCAGAAGCTCAGAAATCAGCAACAGCCAGTCACCCTTTCTAAGGGTCAGTTTCCATCACATCTGGCCTTAGCCTGGCCATCAATTATTGTTCCTGTCCTCATCATGCCTTTCCTTTTCCTTTTCTTGCATTTAGTTTAGTAAGTACTATGAAAGTGCTTTTTTTTTTTTTTTTTTTTTTTTTTTTTGGTTTTTACGAGACAGGGTTTCTCTGTATTGTTTCGGAGGCTATCGGTCCAGCCCGGCCTCGAACTCACAGAGATCCGTCTGCCTCTGCCTCCCAAGTGCTGGGATTAAAGGTATGCGCCACCACCGCCCGGCATGAAAGTGCTTTTTAAAGACCCTTTCTTAAGTAATAATGGAGCCGTTTGGCCTTATGTTTACTGTTTCTGACTGCTGTATATTTTATTGTCAAGAATCAATTGAGAGAAAAAAAAAAAAACCTGTGTGATTGTCTGTCCTGTGATCAGTATATTCTTTAAGAGAAATGCAAGCATTTTCAGAAACTTGAAGATGGTATTGAGCTAGTGGAATTCATTCCTCTTGTTGACTTCTGTGGGTATTGAACCTTTGTAGTATTTTGTGGCTCACTTGGGCTTAAACCCATGCCACCACCAAAGCTCTCTCGGGTTCTCACCGTTAACAGTATGCTTGTGCAAAGCAAAGTTAACAGCAGTAGTTGGGGTGGGGGTGGGGGGGATCCTGATTAAATCACCAGAGCTTATCAGTTTCCTTGCATGGGCGTGCTGGCTATACAAGAAGGGGACTTCTCACAGTTAAGCATCGAACCCCTTCACTCATGACTGGTCTGATGGTCCTGTAGAATATACATGTCACAGGGTTTCAGCCATGTTTATCTTGGCATTTTGATTTCCCCCAGCGTTTCAGCATTCATTCCTATACATTTCAGATTTGAATAGGTATATTACTAAATTATTTTGCAGAAAGAGGGGCCCATTTACATAGTACCTTAAAACATGGCGGGACAGAACCTGTTTCTCATTGTGCAGCTGCCAGAGGCTCCCATTAGTGTGTGCCTCATCGTTTTCCTGTGGGGTTTTACTTTCTAAACAGCTTGTGCACGTGGGACATCTTTATATTGAGTTCACTGTTCCTCTCAAATGGTGACTTCCAACTTCCTGTGTAGTCTTGCATTCTCAGGCTGTCTCGTTTGGCGCAGTTGTTTATGATACTAATTCAAGATGGTTTTAAATTATTCCTCTTGTTTCCTTTAAATAATCATTTACAGTCACTTGCGTTCTCCACCTGGATCTTTGTGTCACTAAGCAAATTTATGTCTGTATAGTATTGATAACCATTATTACATGTATTTTGTAGCCAGTTGTATTTGAGGGTTTCTGACTATGTTTCTTCTGTGGTGTGCAGGGCATTACTGTATGGTGGGATGCGAGAGTCTCAGCCTGAAGCAGAGATCCCTCTCCAAGATACCACTGCAGAGGCCTTCACGATGCTGCTCAAGTACATCTACACTGGGCGGGCAACACTGACAGATGAGAAGGAGGAGGTGCTGCTGGACTTTTTGAGCCTGGCTCATAAATATGGATTTCCAGAGCTAGAGGATTCTACTTCTGAGTACCTCTGCACCATACTTAATATTCAGAACGTCTGCATGACTTTTGATGTTGCCAGTCTCTACTCCCTCCCCAAGTTAACTTGTATGTGCTGCATGTTCATGGACAGAAATGCCCAGGAGGTGCTTGCCAGTGAAGGCTTCCTCTCGCTCTCCAAGGTGTGTGCTGCTTTGTCCTTCATCTCTCAGCATGCATGTGTACTTACACGGGGACCATACCACAGAGGTCTGCGAATCGGAGATAAAGGGCCGTGGTCTCAGAGGAGTCATCTGGTCTAGTACTTGCCGCCGGCTTCTGGGACACTAGGTCTTTCAGGCTATTGGTTCCACTTTTCGAGGTTTCTCTGTTAAGTTGTATGCAAAAGAGACTGGTCTGCTGGGTCGTTGGTTTTAATGTGGACAGTGAAGATTTTGTTGTTGTATACTGCTTTTTGGTTTTGTTTCTATGATGTAGAATATACCTAGGAATTCTTATCTTGGCAGAAGGGCAAAGTCTTTAGGGCTGGGATATATATAGTCAGTGGCACAGTGGGAAAATTCGTAAAGGAGATCTGAAGTGCCAGTGGATGTCTCTTATGCTACCACTGTAAAACTGTCACTTAAATCTGCCATTGAACCTGGAACAGTGGCTCCCTATCTGTGTGTGTGTGTGTGTGTGTGTGTGTGTGTGTCTTTAAAGAGCTATGCGTCTTGATTTGAATGAACTCCATTTTTTTTTATTATCACACTTCCATAAACAAGAAATTTTCAGTGCTGCATCAGTGTTTATGGAAGTCAGTCCAGAGAGCCGAGGACTGAAACCATGATAGTGCAGCAATACTGTAAAACAAAAGGTTTTGAAATTTTAATTATAGGCCTATCTTACTGACTTACAGATTTATACCTTCTAAAAGAATGAACACATGTATGCACGTGCACATACATATGCATATATATAGTTTGTCATCTTTGTTCTTGCTGCTTTTATGAAAGGATTGCCATAAACTATACCACTTCTTTAATATGGTGACTTTAAGTCACCATATTAGAGGTACTTGTATATAAAGGTTTATTATTGTACTGTTTGTGGTAGCTAAAAACTGGAAGCAGCCTAGAGGTCCATCAACAGCCAAATAAATGATGTGGTACATAAATACAGCTGAAAAGTAGAATAACGATAGTCCCAGCAAGATGGAAGAACAGAAAATTATTACGTTAGTTGAAACCATATTCAGAAAGACAAATTGCACCTGTTGCTCTCATAATGGACCTTACATTGTATGTGTATGTGTATAAATAAGCATATGTAAGGGGACAGGGTTCTTAGTTTGGTTACTATTGCTTTAATAAAACACCATGACCAAGAGCAACTTGGGGGGGACGAGGTCTATGTCAGCTCACAACTCTTAGGTCACACTCCATCACTGAGGGAAATCAAGGAAGGAACCTACAGGCAGGAACTGACGCCTTGCAGGGGTGCTGCCTGCTGGCTTGCTCAGCCTGCTTTCTTGTACAACCCAGGACCTGTCTGCACAGGGGCGGCACTGCTTTCAGTGTGCTGGATCCTCTACGTCAGTCACTAATCAAGAAAATGCCGCACAGCCTCACCCTCAGCCCAGTCTTACGGGGGCATTTTCTCAGTTGGGAGTCCCTCTTCCCAGATGAGTAGCTTGTGCCGACACCAGTCAACAGCAGAGCAGGTGCAGGCCATGAAACTGGACGGCAGGCTGTGTAAAGGGAAGAAGATCTTAAGAAAGACGAGAACTGGGCAGGACAAAAGGGGTGTGTTGGGTAAAGGAAGGAGAAGCAAGGCTGTGGGAGGCAGAGACGGCACCAGCAAGAGGAGGGCCGTGGAAGTGGAGCAGAGCAGCTTTACAAATGCGAGCGAGATAGTGTATGGAAAAATATTCACTCTATAACTGTAAAAACTAAGTAAATCTCTAAAGCATCAAGAGAAGATGTAGCTATGCGTGTGTGTGGGAAGACTAATTACTTTATATAGTGGTGCAAAAAGCCTGAGGAGGAAAGTTGCTACTTTTTTGTTTTTTAAGTAACCCATGTTGTCCTTGAATTCACTATGTAGCCCAGGCTGGCCTCAGATCCACAGTAATCCCTCTGCCTTCTAAAAGCTGGTATTACAAGCATGAGCTGCCACACCTGACTCATTTGTTGCTTGTTCACCTAGCCAGAGGGGAGGAGGGAATAGATAGGAAGGCCCAGACCCAGGAAAGGAATGCTACCTGTAGTCCCGTCAAGCTCTGCTGCTGACTCCATGGCTGGTGCTCCACGCTGACTCTTACGCTCCCTTTTCCTCCTTTGCAGGCAGCACTCCTGAACATTGTTTTAAGAGATTCGTTTGCAGCTCCTGAGAAAGATATTTTCTTAGCCTTGTTAAACTGGTGTAAGCACAATACAAAGGAGAATCATGCTGAAATCATGCAGGCTGTGCGTTTACCTCTGATGAGCCTCACTGAGCTTCTGAATGTCGTGAGGCCCTCAGGACTCTTGTCTCCAGATGCCATCCTAGACGCCATTAAAGTGCGCTCAGAGAGCCGGGATATGGACCTTAACTACAGAGGCATGCTCAGTAAGTACCTGTTTCCCCTTTTCAGCTTCTGCCAGTCCTAACTGCGGAACTCCGCCTGTAGAACCATGGTGCAGGTTGCATAGCGTATGCTGGGCCCAGGAGGACACAGCTCTGCTCCCCGTGGGTGTCCTTCCCTGTCGTTCCCCCTAACAGGACGAGCTACTGCCGACCCAGCACAGCTATTTCTTGTCATTCCTGGGCAAGTTGTCCATCTCCTCCTCAGAATGTCAGCAGACACTTCCCTGAAAAGTGGCTTGTCAAACTGAGACTTTTCCCCCTTCCTGTAACAAGTAAGTCCTGCATGTATGCTGTGTGTACCTAATTCTTGAAGCGTTACCACACGTGGAGATTCTAATGGTGACCATGGCTGATGCTAATAACAGTAGTCTGATTTTTCTTGCAAATGTAGTAATAGCAGTTAACAATTATCAAATGCTTTCTGTGTCAGGACCAGGCTCACATAACCATTAAGTCCTCACATCCCATTGAGGAGTTGCAGCCTATTTTTAACTGGTTGTTCTACAAATGAAGAAAATGAAACAGAATTAGGTGACTTGCCCAGAGTCACACAGAAGATGGCGCACTGAGAATTGTGTGCAGCTTGCCTCTGTAGGCTGTGCCTTTAACCATTAAACTATGTGGCAGAGGTGCAAAGAGCAGCCTCTACTTTTGACCCTTCCAGTTTCGTCATGCTAAACACAACACCAGCTTCAGGGATTGAGGGGTGGGCATGCGACTCATGTGTGGTCGGAGCGGCATTGTGATTTTGTGAGCGCCATTGTTGAAGATGGGAGAGATGAATAGAGTTGTGTATCTCAGGTCAGGACTAAAGAGCTTGCTAGAACAGAAGGTGTATGCTGCTGCATGACCAAATGGCTGCCAGCCAATCAGACAGACTATGGGGGTCTCTGAAAGCTGCTTCAAATCTCCTTTCTCTACAGTGAGAAGCTTATGTGGGAGTGGTCTGTACACCGTGGTGATGCTTGCCTGGGTGGTTTGGTGTCAGGAAGACCAGTGAGGAGGGAATTTAGTTTACTCAACGGACACAGCAGGTAATGGCAGAGAAGGGGAAAGTGACACAAGTATAGACAAGGTTCCAGGACATTAGAGCTTGGTGATGGGAGGATTGAACATTGAGGATTAAGGTTAAGGTAAGTTTCCCAAGGCCTCATTATCTTAGGATGCGCAGTAAGCAGTGCCAGTTAAACCCCAGCACATTTCCTTTCCTTGGCCACTGAACCAGCAGGGCTTCTGCAGAGAGATGCTGAGCTTGGTTTTGGGTTAGTTTGAGCGCTTCTGGATATTGATCATTTCTTGGGGAGGCTGAACATTTCCTGGGGTGATACCTTCCTTGACTGGTTTGAGACATTCTTGAGATGCTGGTGGGTCCTAAATAGATGTCCTTAGCCTGGACTTGTTTCCTGAGTTATCAGATCTAGATTTATTTTCAGTTGACAAGTAGTTCTTTGGCCTCAAAATTTTTGTGGATGCACATGCATGTGTGCACCGAATGTGGAGGCCAGAGGTGAGCCTCAGGCGTTAATCGTTAGGAGTCATCGGGTTTGATTCTGAGACATGGTCTTTGGTTGGGGGCTGGGGCACACTGATTAGGCTGAATGACTTGGCGGAAGACCCCAGGGATTCATCTGGCTGTTTCCCCAGGGCTAGGGATTACAGTTGTGTGCAGTTATGCTCGGCTTTTATGTAGGCCCTGGGAAATGATTTAGGTCCTCACCGATGGTTTGATAAGCACTCTCTGTAGATTGAGATATCTCCTGTGTCCCTCGGCCAGACAAACTTGATTTTAAGTCTTGACTTAGTCATTAGCTATGTGATCTGGCAATAAATTGAGTTTTAGTTTCCTGTCTCCATATTGTTGTGAGGACTAATTTGAATAATCTGTGTAAACACAGCATGTGAGCTCAGTACAGGACCTATTGCTTTCAGTGTTGATGTGGCTTCCCTCATCACAGTATGTCACTGTGTGAATCGTCACATCCACCGTGTTCCCGTAAACAGTTTTGTTTTTTTCTCACCTTTGGATTTTGAGGACCGTGTTTTTTGTGGATCTAATTATCTTTTACCCTGACCACTCAACACACTGACCAGCACATAGCAAGTGAATCCTTGGTGGATGAATTCAGGAAACAGGGCTAATAGGAAGGGGAAGCATATTACTGGTGTTCAGGGAGCAGTCAAAGCTAGTGACAAAGAGAAATCTGGGTAAGAACATAGAAAAAGAAGTAAAGAAAAATCAAAGTCCAAGACTTGGAGACCTGTAGGCTGGAGGCTTAAGGCAGAGAAGAAATTAGAGAGGCAGGGGAGACAGCAGAGCTAGGAAGGCCACAGAAGCTAATTGGGGGAGAGCTGCCATATGGAGGGGCAGTTAGTGGTGTCTCATGATGCCAGATGGTCAAGGTGAATGAGAGTTGAGAGGACTTTGGATATAAATTGTGTGCGAGTTTGCGAATATCCAAAGGGAATCAAGCCATTCCCTTTGAAGAGATAATACTCATAGTGTGTTAGTTACTTTGCGAATTGAGAAACAGAATGGTGTAGCTGCAGAGAAAAAACTGGAGAGGTTTAGGAAGCAATTGGGAGGGGCTGGTTGAAGGTCAGCCTTACCTGGAGTAAGAGGGTGAAATGGGACCTAAGATGAGTGTTGAATTCTACACTTCCCAAATCCTCATTTTCTACCCTCTTATATAAGCCCCTCCCCTTTATCCTATTATTGTCTTATAGGGCTCTAGAGCTGCATTTGCTGAAGATGGGTTGGATCACAGATGTAGGTGTTAGGTGTATTTGACACTTCATATATACTGGTTTCTTGGAACTGATTAACTGGTCAGTCCATGTGAAAGTCGCCCACTCTGGTAATCTGGGAGAGTCCTTAGGGAAGGAATGGTTGAGGCACTCAGTTCTGGAATAATGTGTTTACTGTGGTTATTGCTTACTAATGTTAAATTTGCCATTTCGGAGAAATTCGGACAGAGCACAAGGAATAGATTATATGAAAGTGTTTGACAATCATGAGATCACTGAGTAGTATAGTTAAATAGCAGGATATTTTTCTGACTTTTATAGTATTTAAGTAGTGAAATTAATAAAAAAAATATCGAGGAAGCACAATACATCTCTAGCAGATCCTTTTAAAGAGATTTTCTAAGAACTACCCAAACATCAGGTACTTATTTTAGCATATATCGATTGTTGGGAAATGAAGTCTAACATCTCAGAAGTGTTAGGCTGGGAGCTTCTGGGGGATTTGTGACTGTGTTCTTCCGTGTGTGTGTGTGTGTGTGTGTGTGTGTGTGTGTGTGTGTGTGTGTGTGTGTGTACGTGTGTGTGTACGTGTGTGTGTGTACGTGTGTACGTGTGTACGTATACACTAATCAGGAATGCAGAGAGCCTGTCTCAGTGCTGCTGCTGCTGTAAGTTTATGACGTTGCTTTCTGGGAGATTCTCCCTCAGAGGCCTACCCCAAAGTTTTACTAAATTGCAGATTCCACCCTGTTTTAAAAGGGCGATCCCAATGATGCTTTTACTTAGTGATGAGGTTGGTTTCTTTAGAAGGTAGTTTGAGTTTATGCACATACAGTAAGCATTTATCTAAACACCTAGGGTAAAGAAATGAACTTTTTAATGGAATTACTTTTTTCCTTAGGATGTTGAGCTGCCTTTGTTTCATTCCCTTAACATTTAGTTTTCTCTTACCTCTGGAGATTCTTCTGTCCCAAAAGTCAGTGCTTTTTTCTAATAAGGCTGAGTTATATTTTGTTTTGTTTATCTCATGTGTTAGACTGTGGGAAAGAGAACAATAATCTCGTTTCTGCATGTTTATAGCAGATAGCTGTATCATAGATTCTAGCCTCAGGATTTTTTTATTGAGTAAAAGTCAATATGTTCTTAAGACTGCTGAGGTAAATTGGTGTGTTCGTGTGTGTGTGTGTGTGTGTGTGTGTGTGTGTGTATGTGTGTGTGTGTGTGTGTGCTTCCTGTGTTTCCTAGTCACTGGACTAAGGATCTTTGCAACTGTGATATAATTGTTGCTCATTAGATTGAGTTCTTTAAAGATGCTATAGTTGGATTCTTTTTTTTGCCTCTGGTCTTCTAGCACCTGGCACAGTGTCTGAATCAAGATTTTAAAAATATATGGCTGAGCCGGGCGGTGGTGGCGCACGCCTTTAATCCCAGCACTCGGGAGGCAGAGGCAGGCGGATCGCTGTGAGTTCGAGGCTGGGCTGGACCGACAGCCTCCAAAACAATACAGAGAAACCCTGTCTCGTAAAAACCAATATATATATATGGCTGAATGAGTCCTTTCCTTGTTTCCAGACTAGAATTGAAGTCTTTCTCCCCTGTCACATAAGGACAGTTATAACATGAACATTTTAAAACTCTTTGCTCCTGGTACTGTTGTACCTTCTCCGGGATACATTCATTTGTGGAGGTGTTTAGTGTCAGTGAAAGTTCTCCTCTCCTATCAGATGCTGAGCATCTCGGGCTGAGCTGCTTCAGTGACTTGCACATGGGGGCAGCTTTCAACACCTGTTTTCTTTAAAGCAGTTGGATGGTGGTCCCGTTTAGCTGCATGCCCTTCTTTGGTAACTTCCCAACGTTGCCAAGTGAAGGGAAGTGCTTAGTTTGGGACTAGACTGCAGCACTGTGCCTCATGCAGCAGACGTTCTTTCATCATTTCTTCTGTCTGGTTTCTTTTTTGTTTCCGGTTTGTGTGTTTGAGAACCAGAATTGAGAAGTGTGGAAACCAGGCCTGCAAATAGTAGGTTAATGGGGAAAGTTGAAGCAAGACCGGAGCCTTGGGAAAGTTGTTCCTATTGGCACAGTTGTTAGCGAGTATTGTGGGAGGCAGGGGGAACCCATACAATCCAGGAAGTTGGTAAGGGGAGTGTAGGAGATGACTTAGGTGACAGAATTGGATAAAGAGATTCTAGTGGGCAGAGAGCTATTTTGTATCCAAGTAATACATTGGTGTCTTAAGTGCTATGTCCCAAATGATGACTTAGGACCTAAAGAAAACACTGGGTGATTAGCCCGGAGCCTCAGCTTTTGTCACTGTGTAGTTTGGTTTGAATTCTGACTCGGTCTCTGAGCATGCTTAGGCAGCCTCATGTCTGCTTTTGGAGTGTCGTTTTTAGGTATCAGTACCCAGGGACACCTACCTTACCTGTGAAGCTTGACGTATAGATGACTTCATAGGCCTAGACACTAATCTCAATTGGAGACAGGAGGGGGCTTGAAATAACCCACTCTCTCCCATCTCCCCCTCCCAAATGATTGGTTTGTTTTTTACCTAGCTACAGGGCTTTAAAGCTCAATTTTTTCTTAATGGCTATAAAATAAAAATTATAAATATACAGATATTTTTGATTGCTATTTATGATCTTACTCAATCCCTGCTGATGTCTTTTAGTTTTTTGAGTTTCGCTCTTCATGGATAGAGAGATACAGGCACTAAGAGGAGTACATGTGACTTGAATACTTTTGTAATTTAGATTTTTCCAGGATTACTTTTCCTTTTAAATTCATCATTTAACTATAGATTTGGAAGAAAAACTACTTTGGAACTGTATTTTTATCCAGCAGTGTACTCATGCTCTAGCTGCCATGAGGGAATTTCCACTTGTATAAATGATCTCATGCCGGAGTGCAAGATGCTCCCGGGCAATGAACTTGTTGAGAATGGCTAGAAAAGGCTCAAGTACTCTTGAAATAAACTTAAAAGAAGACTTGGACTCGCAGTAAACTTTCATTTCTATTTTCGATTTCAGCCGTAATCATTAGAGACTCTTGGACCTGGTGTGTCATTCGGAGCTTGGTAGATTTTAGTACTGAAGGAAGCTTATCTTAAGGGAAGCCAAGGTGGTACTAGTTTCTAAGCTTGGAGGCTTGACACAAGTCCCTCTGTCAGGACTGTAGGTGACAGTTTCATCAGAATTTGCTTTGAAGGCGGGTCAGAGTCTTAAATAGCAGTGGGGCGGGGCCCTGGATGCCTGGGTCTGACACCAGCTCTGCTGCTTGCTGGACAGTAAGGTCATTGGCTTTCCTGTTCTTCCATGTCTCATCTGTGATGGCTGCGGGGCTGTGTCGTGCCCCGAGGACTAAATCAAAGGAGTCAGTATCTGTGAAGTGCTTGTAGCAGTGTCTGAAGAATACAGTGGCTGCACTCGGCCATATTGAGTATGAGCCGTTGCTGCCTCAGCTCTTGGCATTGCTGATGTGGCTTTGTTCTCTGTGTTGCTTCAGTCTTTTGCTTTTGCTTTTAGCTCCATTTGTTGTCCTCTTCTGGAGCCACTGTTACCTGTCTTCATTTGTAAACTTCCCCAACCCAATTTCCTGCCGACTGCCACATCTGCAACGCTGAACGCTTCCTTACTGTCTTTTCCTTGTGCACCTGATAGGTCTCTCACTTCCCTTTATACCAAGAGGCACTCTGGGAAACCTGCATAGCTCTTACACGTGTGCCATATAGTAATGACTAGTTTTTAAAGAGCATACTAGATGCTTTGCAAACATCTTCTCAGTATTTACAGAGAACATGCAGGGGACAGACATTGTCCTCTCAAGAAGCTGACATTTAGAAGGAGTAGTTTCTCCCAAGTGGCAGATCCAGTTCAGCCTTTTACAGCCTTGGTGTAAACTATGACTCAGTCGCCAAGCATGTTTATGTCTTCCATGGAGACTGCTGGTTTTAGGTATCAGTTCCTGGAGGAGACACCCTCCTTACCTGTCAAGTGTGATGTGTAGAGGTGACTTTAAAGTCCCAGACAGTAATCTCTCATTGGAGAGAAGAAAGGCTTCAAATAACTACAACCCTGATTCTGATGACAGCTTCTGAATTTTCATTAAGACAAAACTCAAGTGATGTTTATTTTCTTTTCAGGTAGAATCTTATTTTCTCAGCTTGGCAAACTGACTCATCTTGTCTGTGTGTGACTAACGGCAGCTAACACTGGAGCCCCCTCTCTTGTTTGAGCAGATGTCTGGCCTGTTTGCCCTACACCTGTCCTCAGTCCGGATGGTGGGTGCAGGCCATCTGATATGCTGTTTTTGTTCAGCAGACATTAAATTAAAGCTGCTAACAGAATGGACTCCACAGAGAGGATATTTGCCCTACCACTTGTGTTTGTAGGATTAACTCTCTTTTAACATTCAGTGTCTGGCTCACTGTAGATGTGTTAGTGACATTCACTTTGAGTGTTGAATGCTATCTTAATCTTGGTGGACATTCTATTCTCTTCATTTCCATAGACTTGCCTATACAACTTAAAACCAAATACTGGAATCAACTAGAATGCTTCAAGTTTACTTTTCTCTCACTAATATAGAATATTTAAAAATAACACTACACTTGCTCTGTTTCTAACTGTAGTACCAGAAGAAAACATTGCAACGATGAAGTATGGAGCCCAGGTTGTGAAAGGAGAGCTGAAGTCAGCCTTGTTGGATGGTGATACTCAAAATTATGACTTGGACCATGGGTTTTCCAGGCATCCCATCGATGATGACTGCCGCTCTGGCATTGAGATCAAGCTCGGCCAGCCATCCATTATCAACCACATACGCCTCCTCCTGTGGGACCGTGACAGCCGGTGAGGACTCTTGTCCCTGAGACGCTGTGTCGTGTTTGCTGAAGAGGACCTAATGTTTTGGCCATCTGCTTTGGTTTCTCTCCTACACCAGTTCTTCATTTACTGGCAAAAGGAGGCAGTTACTGAGAAAGAGAGCTTCTGTCTTAGTCACTATTGCTGTGATGGAACACAACAGTCAGAGCAACTTGGGAAGGAAAAGCTTTCTTTGGCTTACACGTCCATGTCACAGTTTATAATCAGAGAAAGTCAAGACAGGAACTGAAGCAGGGCAAGGACTTGGAGGCAGGAGCTGATACAGAGGTCATGGAGGGGTGTTGCTTACTGGCTTGCTCCTCATGGCTTGCTCAGCCTGCTTTCTTATAGAACCCAGGACCACCAGCCCATCGATGGTACCACACAGTGGGCTGGACCTTCCCCTATCAATCACTAATTAAGAAAATGCCTTACAGCTGCGTTTTATGGAGACTTTTTTTTAAATTGTAGTTCCTTCCTTTGAGTTAATTCTAGCTTGTATCAAGTTGTCATAAACCTATCTAGTACAACCCTCTAGCAAGGAAGTGGCCCAGAGGAGCTGGGAAAGGCAGTTAGATGCTCAGTGACCATGTGCTTTAGTTTTGCAGGTTTAAATGGCCCATTTCTTTGTGATCTTTCTGCTGTTTCTCTCAGTTAGTTCTAGGGAAAGAATTAAAAGTGAAATTTCTTTAAAATGTCCTTTTTAACATTTAAAGTTTTTGGTATTTTGTGTTGCATGTTCTGCTTACATACATGTGTGTGCACCATGTGTGTGCAATGCTCTCAGTGCGAGAATAAGGCAGTGGATCCCTGCAACTGGAGTTTCAGGCAGTTAGGAGTCACCATATGTGTGCTGGGAATCGAACTTGAGTCCTTTGGAAGAACAGCCTGTGCTCTTAACCACTAAGCCGTCTCTCTAGCCCCTTTTTGTCCTCCTCATATACAAACACTGAGTAAGTGTTTTATTTTGGAAAATACAGAAAGTACAAAGAATAAAACTTATCTCACCAGTGCCCATCATTAAAGTTTGTATGTCTCTAACTGTCTATCTCATTACACATGCATACGTATTACAAAGTCTTTACAAAGCTTCACAAAACATAGGTTGGCTATATGGAAAACTTACCTCTACTTTTAGTATTTCTTCTTAGGAGGTAGAGTCTCGATAATTTGCCTAGCCTGATGTCAAACTTGGATTCCTTCTTCCAGCTTCCCAAATTCTGGTGTTGCAGGTGTGTGTGACCCACTGCACTTGGCTTTAATTTCATGTTTCAGTTACTACATTTAAAACATTGTATTCGTTTTGAAATGTTATCTGGCATCCTTCCGTATAAGTGAACATGGTTTATTTGATTCCTTACTATTGGATATTATGAATACCTTTAAAATACTTATCATCTTATAGCTGGAGAAATTGTCTTTTTTTGCATAGCTAAGCATTCTTGGAGTAAAATCAAATTGTGAAAGTGCATAACACGCATACACACTCAGTCACTCTTATGTTCTAAAATAAATCCTTTAAAAAAGAATTATTTCTCACATGTATGTTGGTGAATATTTGGTGCATAATTGACAAAGTGGTTGGAGTTAATTCATATTTCTCATTTCCAAGAATCCCTGGTTAATAACAATGTAATAATATTTATATTGCTCTCATTACTTGTATATGGTAGGCACTCTAAAGGCTTTATATATTTCATTCCTCTAATTAATAATGAAATTGGAATAAAAATGATAAAGGGAAAGGTTAGTGTGCTTGAACCTGAAAGCACTGCTTATTGTTTCCATGATGTTAAATATTTATAGGCCACTTTGTTTTAGTATCTATATTACATTCACAGAGGACTTTACCATGTTCTTTTCTCACAACATTGCTAACATTTGAAGTAAAGGTGAAAAATTCAAAATCTCAAGCCAAAAAGATTCTGATGTGTTGTAAAATTATATCCCACATTACTGATAACCCAGAGAAGTTCAATAAAAGGTTATAACCAGTTTGAGACTGAGCGATAAAATGAATGGGAGTTGAGGGGACAGCAGAAAATGAGGGGATGACACAAAATAAGCTGACCTTTTCTGGCCACAACTGTGGGCTGCAGGCTGACATTTATGGTCACCTAAATCTTCCAAGATTGTTCCTGTTGATATTACAGCACAAGTAATAACTGCATCTCAAATTTAAATTTGCCTCATGACAAGGAAATACAGATTTTTTTTTTCCCAGTGTGGGCCCAGCATGTAATGGTTCAGGGCAGCTGACAAGGGGAGGATGATGGGCTATTTTCATTATAGCCAGGTTATTAGCTGGCAAGGTTTAAGTTACATCCAAAAGAAACAAGCATTTTCTTTTCCCCCCATGTTGTTTATTTTCTAGCAAGCTGCTGTAAGTGGTGTGGTAGGGGACTGAGGGGTGGCTGGAGATGAGTTGGCGTCTGTGGAGAACCATTCTGCCATTCCACGTGGCTTTCCCTGCTGAGAAGGGAGGGTGGGGTAGAGCCTCTAGGCCAGGGGCCATGGCAGGAGGAAAGGGCACTGACCTGCTTCTGTGTCCTTGTCCCTTCTCTGTCCTTACCTCCCCCGTCTGCTCCTGTTGCCTGTCTCTCCTTTCCTCCCTCTGCTAATGTGGCATGGCCAAGGCATCCTGGCAATGCAAAGAAAAACAAGCTTCCATTTAGTTTTGCTCTTAAGTAGTTCATCATTTGATTAAGACAGAAAGACAAGCTAAGAGGAAATGTCAGTACATTGGGGTAAATACTACAGTAGTGTGTTTTATATAGCTTTTATTGCTACCTGAATTTGATAAATGTGTTTTTGAAATAGGAAATATAATTAGTGAATTCTATTCTTTGGTACCTTTTAATATTTTACTTTGGTTTTGTATTGTTGCTGTACTATATTTTTTCTTTTTACTTCATAGGTCTTATTCCTATTTTATCGAAGTGTCCATGGATGAACTTGATTGGATCAGAGTGATAGATCATTCACACTACCTGTGTCGATCTTGGCAAAAGTTGTATTTTCCAGCTCGTGTCTGCAGGTAAGTTCTCATTGTTAATATATGATTCTTGTTCTTCTTCTTCCTCCTCCTCCTCCTCCTTCTTCCCCTTCTTCTTCTTCTTCTTCTTTTTTAGACACAGAATTTATCTGTGTAGCTTTGGAGCCTGTCCTGGAACTCTCTGTGTAGACAATGCTGGCCTTGAACTCACAGTGATCCTCCTGAGTTCTGGGATTAAAGGCGTGTGCCACCACTGTCCAGCATTGATTTTTATCTTCATTTAAGGACATTTGGAGTTTGAGAGCGAGATTGTCTCTGCCCCCCAAAAAACACAAAAAACCCAAAAGCAACAGACCAAAAAAAAAAAAAATCAAAAACCTGTAGGGACAGTTAAATACTTGGTGTGTGGAACTGTGTAGCGCGTTGTGTGCTGTGCTTTCCAGTGGCAATGTGAAGACTGAAGTGCTCTTTACACTCGCTGTTGTCCTCACAGAGAAGGCAGCTGTGGTCAGACAGGGGAGTCTCCTCAACATCCAGGGAAGGTCCTTCTGAAAGCTCCCTGCCAGTGCTCAGAGCCAGTATGTGTGCATGTAGTGCATTCTTGGGGCATTGGTCCGCATTAGGGGACGGCAGGTGGGGTTCGGCAAAGGTGCAAGGCCAGCTTAGCCAGCAGACTTCATGCTCACACCCCTGTTTCTCCGTACCAGCTGATTCTGTTGTTTGGCACACCCCAGGTAAGATTGTTTGGGAGAGTATTGAAAGGTTACTGTTCTAATAGTTTGTTTTTCTGTAGTTGAAACCATTATCTGAACTTTCTGTTGTTCTGTAAAGCATACAAGTTCATGAAATTGGGAGTGGAAAAGGTGGTTGAAGTTCCCTGAAGATTATATGAATTTGTTCATTTTTCCCATTGGATGGTGCCCTCTAATGATGATCTTTGAGGCAAGAGGTTAAAGGCAGAGCATGGCGGGCTCATACATGTGTGGAGAGAGGGGAAGGGAAAGGACTGGTGAGAAAGCAGGGAGGATGTGGAGCAGGCCCCTGTCACCGGCAGCTTACCTGCCTCTCCTCAACAGATGTCATCCACGCTAGCTTGTAGGTGTGACTGGCAGAGCAGGTGAGAATGTCCCTGGCTCAGTGTCCTGGTCAGGAGTCACCTCTGTGAACTCCTGATTAACTCAGCACAAGAATTCCACAAAAGCCTCCACTACTGGAACATTTCTATTATGGGTGTGACTGGGCACAGTTTTGCTACCCAGGGACCCTCTTGTGTGGAAATGAAGAAAATCAATTTCATTTCCCCAAAGAGGGACTAAAATGTTTCAGTTCTTTTACCTAGTAGAGTTTTGGATGAATTAAAATAAGAGGGACCATAAATTGAGTTAAGATTCCATATCTCAGAGCTGCCGACAGATAACTTGGGGAAGAGGGGCCCGTTAGGGAGGAGGAGCAGATGAAGTCTGTATTGCCTCAGGTTGTAATAGGTGAAGCAGATTGGAAACAAGCAGCATGGAAAGATGGTGCATTTGTATGTAGTTTGAAACAATAGGAACACGACTCTCAGAGCAAGTTGTCATGATTCCAGCTGTGACAGTTCTTGTGCTTTCTCCCCCTCGCAACTCCAGCTGCAAGGAGGGCGGCCTGCCTTCAGCCGGGCTCTAGCTTTTAGAAAATGTTCTTTCCCTTGGGTATTTATGCTTTACTTCCTTCCCTCCCCCTCTTCTTTCCCTCCTATATGGATTTGACCTTGCCAGGGTCACTTTTGCTGTATTCGTGCTGCCAGCTTTGCTTTGGCACCTGTATTAATTACTTTTCAGTTGCTATGGGAAAACCCATGAGTAAGGTAGCTTGTAGAAGAGTTTATTGGGGCTATAGTTTCAGAGGGTGAGTCCATGACTACCGTGGTGAGAGCTTGCAGCAGACAGTCACGCATGATGCTAGAGCGGTAGCTGAGAGTTTACACCTTTTCCCAGCACATCATATGCGCGCGCGCACACGCATGCACGCACGCACGCACGCACACCTACCCATACTCATCTCCACCCCCCACCCCCCCCCCCGCATGGATGGCATGGGCTGTGCAGCCCCAGTTACAAGCTTCCTCCAACAAGACCACACCTACTAATCTTCCCCAACTGAGGACTGACCTTTCAAATATCTGAGCCTATGGGGGGGCCCTTCTCATTCATGCTTCCACAGTCCGCTCAGCTCCAAACTACAAATCTGAGCAAAGGTGTTGTTGGAGATGGTGATAGCAAGAAAAGAGAGGAATCTCAGGGTCCATGTTAGTAATACATTATAACCATTCTACTACATCTATTACATTTCTCATAAATTCTGTTTCTTGGGTTAGGTTTTTGTTCTGACAGTATTTTAAAATGAATGTAAGCAGCCGGGCGGTGGTGGCGCACGCCTTTAATCCCAGCACTCGGGAGGCAGAGGCAGGCGGATCTTTGTGCGTTCGAGGCCAGGCTGGACCGATAGCCTCCGAAACAATACAGAGAAACCATGTCTCGTAAAAACCAAAAAAAAAAAAAATGAATGTAAGCATTAGACTTTCTGGACAATCTGAGGAGGTGTTGGTTTTCCTTCCCAGCTGCTTATTGACTGTTTAAACAATGCTCTAAGTGAACTAGCTGCAGGTACTTCACTGTGCAAAGAAAGACTTCCTGAGCATGTAAGGGTTTAGTTTTCATTGCAAGCTAATTTTGTGTATTTGTGTGTCCCCTTGGTTCTTTAGTATGTTTTGTGTTTGTTTTTGCCTCTGAGAGTATAACTACAAGCACTTAGAGATGCAGAGTCTGGGCTCTAAATCTTTGTACTTTTAAACAGTACTCAGACTGCGACATTATATGCAGCCACTCTACATAGTAGAGACCGTAAGTCAGCATCGACATGTAGTGCATTTGTTAAGAGTGTCTGAGTGATGTCAAATTCCTTGAGGTGGCACACAGCTCTATATTTTCGGGAGTTTGGTTTCTTTAGGAAACTGACTTTTGATGTTTATATTGAGGGTTTTGAATGCTTTGTGTGGATGTCAGCTTTGCTTTGTTACATTGACAAAGGTGACATTTTATAAAGTGAGCAGTAAGCCGGGTGGTGGTGGCGCACGCCTTTAATCCCAGCACTCGGGAGGCAGAGGCAGGCAGATCTCTGTGAGTTCGAGGCTGGACCGATAGCCTCCTAAACAATACAGAGAAACCCTGTCTCGTAAAAACCAAAAAAAATTTTTTTAAAAATATAAAGTGAGCAGTAGGCGATGACCTACACCTCTCTCTGAGACCAGCAAAAGCCAGTGAGCATTTGTGGTCTGAAACTGGGCAGTAGATGGAGCTCATACCAATCCTAGATTCCCCTCAGACACTCGTAACCTGTGGTGGCAGCACTCTTCGTGGACTTCGCCTTGGCAGTCAGGTGGCGTGATGTCTGGGTGAAGGCAGAGACTCATCAATAGGTTTAGTTTATTTTGTTCACTTTTTGAGAGCCTGCACTGTTTGATCATCAGAGTAGGCCCTGTCTTTGGCACTTTCATTAAGACCGCAGTGCCTTTTCTAAGTAGCCAAGCCTTCTGAGTACTTCCTGTACTGTCAGGTCACATATGGCAGTCCCAGACCTGCCACAGACAGCATAGCAACAGCTAATAATTTGCTCATTTTTCAGTGTTTATAAAAGTGTTATATATTTGAGTATATGAATCATTAAGTCTGCCATTGCAATATCTTTCACAGTACAGTGTAATCCAGGCAGCATTCATTTTGCTCAGTAGTAGATTGTGTCTACTGGCAGTAAGATAGTGCCAGGCTTCAAACCCGCAGTGATCATTTCAACCATGATGATGGACGGAGGAAAATGATTGACTCTTTCTTTCTGGACCCTTGCCAGGAATGTTTGTGTGTGAAGTGGGGCTATTCTGTGTGGCCAAGAGCTTAGACTAGTACTATCTCCCCCATCCTTAACCCTTAGCTGGAGATGAAGGAAAATGACTTACAGTTTATGTGCAATCTTCATCCTTAGAGCAAACCATATTATGTCACTGGTAGGAACTTTGCATCGATATAGATGTGTGTGTGTGTGCGTGCGTGTGCATGTGCGTGTGTGCATGTGTGTATGCACGTGTATGTGTGTGTGCGCACGCGCATCATTTTTTTCTTTTGTGTGTATGTGATTTGATATTAGGTTTCAGTGTTATAGTGATGTTGTTTTGCCACATAGAATTTTACATTTTTAAAAAAGGTAGTCAAATTAGTGTTTTAAAATTATTTCTAGTTTTATATCTTGTTTAGAAAGGTGTTCCTCAATCCAGTGCTAAAGAATGTTGCATGTTTTTCTAATACTTCAAAAACTCCTTGTAATCAAATACTCAATTCCGGCAGACAGAAGAGGAGTGGTTTGGTTGGGACAGTTAACTTCGGATTGCTCATTTAACCATGATTGCTCACTCCCCTGTGGAGACTGGCCTTGTTTCTCAGGTGCTGGGTTCCAGCATATACTTGACGCTTTCACAGTGATTTCCTTTGATTCCTGTTGACTGTTTGAATTACTGTTGTTTCCCTTCCTATTTTCTTAGAGTGAGAAATTATACCATGCCAAGGATGTCACAGAAAAAGGAAAGGGTGTTGCAGAACATCTGCCAGTCTGTCTTTCTAGCCTCAAGGGTTACATTAGAGGCCTTCAGTGATGATAAACATCTCACAGAGGGGCTGTGTTTTCACTCAGAACAGGGATTTAGGTATGCCTCAACAGCTCAGGAAAAAAAATCCTCTCCAGTTGTTCACCCACCACTTACTCATTCAGCAAATAAGCACCTACTGTGTGCTATGCATTGCACTTGACTCTGAGATTGTAACTCTGATGGATGTCAGAGCTTCTGCATTTGTCAGTGGGGGAGGAGTATGCACAAATTTATGAGTACATGTTGTCAAGATGGTACTCTGTGATAACAAGGATCAATGGGAGCAGACATGGGTTTTTTAAGTACGGTTGCTGGGGTGGTGGTACTGTAAGCTGAGCTTTATGAAATGACATTATCCGGTCTTTGCTTG